TGCTCAGGCCCACAAGAGGCGACAATATTGAGGTTAAGTGTTTAGCTACATTATAAGTAACTGAGTCTATACTGCTGACTATGGGTCGTAGCGGGACGTTTTCTTTGTGGATTTTTGGTAGACCGTAGATTAGCGGGGTGGCTTCGCCTGGATAAAGTTTGAAATAAAGTTGCTGGTCAATTAGTTTCTCTTTTTGTAACTTTTGTAGGCTTTTGACAATTTTGTTCTTGTATGTATTGGTTGGGTCGCCTTTTAGTCTTTTGTAGGTTTTCGTGTCGCTGAGCAAGTTTGCGATCTTGGCATCGTAATCTGCAGTGTTTAGTATAACTGTGCATCTGCCTTTGTCTGCTGGTAATATTGTGATGCTATCTTCTTTTTGGAGTTCTGCTAAGGCTTTCCGTTCTTCTACTGATATGTTTGAGGGTGGCGGTTTTGCTGTTTTTAGCGAGGAGGCTACACTAAGGCGAATGTCATCTGCTTCTGCTTTTGATAACTTGTTATTTTTGATCGCTGTTTCTACCGCTGTGATGTAGTCTGTTTTTGGTATGTTGTTAGGTGTAACTGAAAAGTTCAGGCCTTTGGCAAGCACTGTTTTCTCTGCTTCTGATAAGTCACGATTAGATAAATTCTTAATCCATTTTTCCTCACAAGGGATTTCTTCAATTTGGTCTGATTTGGCCCTGTATCTACTTGGAGTGGGTTCTTTGCGCTTAATCAAATTTTGGAATTTTTTAATTTGCCGTTTTTTGGAGATTTCATGCTGTTTTAGTTGTGAGGATTTGGTGAATTCTAAAATCTTTTGGAAAATCTCTTCTGACACCATTTGTTTCAATTTTTGTCGAATCTCTTCTGCTCTTTTGTTGAGATCTTTAATATTTGCGTTCAGTCGTCTGATTCTTTGGTTGAGAATTTTAAGGACATAATTCAGTTGTAAATTTTTGGCTACGTACCCTGGCTCTAACGCTTTTTGGTTGAGGCATTTAGGTATTAGTTTGTTCTGTCTGCATCTAAGGTTAAATCTAAGATGGTTCCTAGAATCCGCAATTTTCTTACCAATCCTCTCGAGGGCGCGCGTCAGCTGGAGGGAGTCTTTCCCAACATTGACCGCAAGATGCTTGTGGAGGCTCTCAGGTGTACAGGAAAGTTCCATCGTAGAAAGGGTTCCGTCAGTCGTCAGCGCAGAGCAATTTCCGGAGTCTTCACGGAGACTTCAGATTTGTCTACCGCTGACGAAGCTTCCGTGAGAGAAGCGAAACGTCCTTTTTGTTTTTTGTTTTTTACCCACAGGTACAGATAACGACTGACGGAACCCTTTCTACGATGGAACTTTCCTGTACGACTGAGAGCCTCCACAAGCATCTGTAGGGGAGAAAATGAGGGTGGGGGGGTAGATAGAGTAGTTTCTGGTAGAGGTGGGTGTATGTGGGAAATGGGGGTGTCCTTTTCAAATCGGCAGAAAAACATGTTTAGTTCATCAGCAAGACCCTGATTGTTTACTGTTTGAGGAGATGGCATTCTATAGTTTGTGATTGCTTTCAGGCCATTCCACACAGATGCAGAGTCGTTAGCAGACAACTGGTTTTTCAGCCTCTCTGCATAGCTTCTCTTAGCGATGTTAATTTCCTTTGTTAATTGGTTTCGGGCGTGTTTGTACAGTGCCCAATCTCCACTTCTAAATGCGGCCTCTTTCTCTTTCCTGAGTTGCCTGAGTTTGGGAGTGAACCATGGCTTGTTATTGTTGAAGGAGCGGAAGGACTTCGTTGGTACACACATATCCTCACAGAAACTGATGTATGATGTTACAGTGTCTGTGTATTCATCCAGTGTGCCCGTTGAAGTTTCAAAGACGCCACAATCAGTGCAGTCTCAGCATTCTTGTAGAGATAGCTTTGCTTCATCTGTCCATTTTTCCACAGTCTTAACAACCGGTTTAACACATTTGAGTTTCTGTCTGTATGTAGGTATTAAGTGTATTAAATTGTGGTCAGAAAGACCCAATGCTGCGCAGGCGATCGATCGGTATGAATTTTTGATTGTTGTATAGCAGTGGTCGAGAATGTTGCCTTGTCTAGTGAAACAGTCGATGTGCTGCTTATATCTGGGAAGTTCACGGTTAAGATGTGCTCTATTAAAATCGCCCAAAATGATCAGGGGTGACTCTGGGTATTTTAGTTCGAGTTTGTTTACTTGTTCAGCTAGTGTTTGTATCGCCGTGTTAGCGTTAGCTTGTGGCGCAATGTAAACACCGACTAGTAAAAAGGAGGTGAACTCACGTGGCGAGTAGAATGGCTTGCAGTTTAGACAGCGACTCCAGGTCCGGGCTGCAGTGTGCGTCGAGCTTCGTGACATCAGTGCACCATTCTTCGTTGATATAGAAGCAAATTCCACCACATTTCGATTTCCCTGATAGCTCCGTGTCGCGGTCGGCTCGGAGAAGGCAGAAGCCGGGTAGATGGAGCACGGAATCCGGGTGGCGGTCACTGAGCCAGGTTTCAGTGAAGCAGAGCGCAGCAGAATGTGCAAAGGTTTTGTTGGTCTTTGTGAGGAGAAGAAGTTCATCCATCTTGTTTGGCAGAGATCGTAGATTAGCAAGATGGATCGATGGGAGCGGGGTTCCAAATCCACGCTGCCGGAGCTTGACTAGCATGCCGGCTCGCTTCCCCCTCCTCCGGCGGCGTTTCCATGCTCCGTACAGTGCAGCCGCTCCGCTCGCGATTAGCTCCGAAAAACCTTGTGGATTTTTGGGTGCAGGTGAAAAAAGTCCGAGCGTAGACTCCCCAATGCTAAGCAACTTTTCCCTCATGTAAGTAAGCCGCTCAGGGTCGCCAAAAACGAAAATGACAAAAACAGGGATAATACTAGGGAGCGTGTAACCGAGGCTGCCATACCTGTCGGCGCCTGATGATGTGTTTAGGTTAAAAGAATAAAAAGTTAACGATACGCTTAAGTTTTGCCAGGTGGCAGTCATTTTCAAAAGCATCTTCACCTCCCCTTTCATCTTCCAAATGCAAGCTCCACAGGGATTTTGTCTCTGATTTTCCTATTTGAAACGTAGCTTTTCACGTACTGCCACTTGATTTCCCCTACTACATACAGGTATGTTAGCAGTCTGATTTGGATAAACTACCCTGAACGATGAGTTGCACGGAAGCTAGATGGGCCACACAAATTCTACAAGCGGAATTCCCAGCCATCAACTCAGGGGTTTTTGTCTAAAAGCCACTTATGAGACTCGACTGCCACAGGCACGACTGTCACCTTTACTTTCCAGGCTCTCTCCAGCTCCTCCAGCCCTTGGTATTTCTCCAGTTTCTCGTGTTCCTTCTTTCTGATGTTTCCATCACTTGGGACCGCTACATCCATGACAACGGCTTTCCTCTGCCCTTTATCTATGATCACGATGTCCGGTTGGTTCGCCATTACCATCTTGTCAGTCTGTATCTGGAAGTCCCACAGGATCTTTGCTCAGTCATTCTCCACCATCTTTGGAGTTGTTTCCCATTTTGAGCTTGGGGTTTCCAGTCCTTACTCTGCACAGATGTTTCGGTAGACTATGCCAGCCACCTGGTTATGGCGTTCCATGTAGGCTTTCCATAGCCCCGTTCACACGGCAACGTTTGGTCCGACGCAGCTCCGAAATAAATCCAGTCGAGCATTCACACGTGCACATTTGCTCCGGCGTAGCTCCACCAAAGAGCTTATACCGGACCAAATGTGTGCCGTGTGAACAGGGCTCATGCCAGCATCTTACATCCTGCAGTTATATGTTGGATCGTCTCAGGTGCCTCTTTGCACAACCTGCACCTTGGGTCTTGTCTGGTGTGGTATATCTGGGCCTGAATGGCTCTGGTGCTCAGGGCCTGCTTCTGAGCAGCCAGGATGATTTCCTCTGTGCTGTCCTTTAGGCCATCCCTCTCTAGCCACTGATAGGACTTCTTGAGATCAGCCACTTCAGTTATGGTCCGGTGGTACATCCCGTGTAGGGCCTTGTCCTCCCATGGTGGTCCCTCTTCCAGCACCTAATCCTCTGTTCCCCATTGTCTGAGGCATTCTCTGAGTACGTCATCCGTTGGAGCCTTCTCCTTGGTGTATTCGTGGAGCTTGGATGTTTCATCCTGGACAGTGGCTCTCACACTCACTAGTCCCCGGCTTCCTTCTTACGGCTTGCGTACAGTCTCAGGGTGCCTCTCAGGGGGCCGGACTTGGGATGGAACCCTCCATGCATGGTTAGGAGCTTTCGGGTCTTAAAATCCATGGTCTAAATCTCTTCCTTTGGCCACCTTATTATTCCTGCAGGGTATAGCTGTTTATTGCCGGGTCTTGTTCTTGCCATTGAGCTGGTTTCTTAGGACTTGCCTCACCCGCTGGAGGTATTTGGCCATAGCCGCTTTCTTTGTTGCCAGTTCGAGGTTGCCATTGGCTTGTGGTATACCGAGGTACTTGCAGCTGTCCTCAAACGTCTGCTATTGTTCCTTAAGTGAGTGAGACCCCTTCAGTGTGCACTACGTTTCCTCTTTTAGTCACCATCCGACTACGTTTCTCAAGCCCGAATTACATCCCGATGTCACTGCTGTAGATCCTGGTTTTGTGGATCAGGGAGTCTATGTCCCTTTCGCTCTGAGCATACAGCTTTATGTGATCCATGTAGAGGAGGTGACTGATCGTAGCTCCATTTCTGAGGTGTATCTAAAGCCAGTCTTGGCGATTACTTGGCTTCGGGGGCTCAGTCCTATGCAGAACAGCAGTGGGGAGAGTGCATCACCTTGGTACATGCCACATTTGATGGACACTTGGGTAAGTGGCTTGCCATTGGCTTCAAGTGCAGTTTTCCACATCCTCATCGAGTTCGCAACGAAGGCTCTTAGGGTCCTGTTCACCTTATACAACTCCAAGCATTTAGTGATCCATGTATGTGGCATCGAGTCGTAGGCTTTCTTGTAATCAATCCAGGCTGTGCACAGGTTGGTATGTCGGGACCTGCAGTCTTGTGCGACTGTTCTGTCACCCAGGAGATGATGTTTGGCTCCTCTGGTATCTCGACCAATGCCCTTCTGTGCTTCGCTCATGTATTGATCCATGTGTCCACTTATCTTAGCCGCAATGATGCCTGACATGAGCTTCCATGTTGTGGAGAGACAGGTTCTTGGCCGATAGTTGGATGGGACTGCACCCTTTGAGGGATCCTTCATGATCAAGATCGTTCGCCCTTCCGTTAGCCATCCTGGATGAGTTCCATCCCTCAGCAACTGGTTCATTTGTGCTGCTAGGCGCTCATGGAGTGCTGTGAGTTTCTTTAGCCAGTAGGTGTGGACCCCCTCCGGGCCTGGTACTGTCCAGTTTTCCATATCTGAGACTCTTTCCTGTATGTCTGCCATTGTTATGGTGACTGGCTTCTGTTCAGGGAGGTTGCTGTGCACCTCTCTCAGAGTCACCAGCCATTGTGCACTGCTGTTATGTGCGACCTCCTTCTCCCATATGCCTTTCCAGTACCTTCCAGTTTTGGTGGGTCAGCTCTGCTGTTAGGACCCTGCCACTGAGCGTACACTTTCGCAGGTTGTGTTGCGAACAGCCTGTTTATTCGTCTGGCCTCATTCTCTTTCGTGTACCTCTTTAGGCGACTGGACAAGGCTTGGAGCCTTTGTTTGGCAGTTTCGAGTGCTTCAGGTATGGTCATACTGATGCTGAAGCGTATATCAGCTCACTGGTTTCCGTGATCGTTACAGTAGGGATCGCCCTCAGTGCTGCATTCACACTTTCCATGAGACTTTCAGGTGGTACTTCACATAGCCGTTGTAATCGGTTTCAAGGTTGCCTTGCTTTCATTCTCGCCATGATCCCAGCTTTCAGGTCAGTTGCTGCCTCGCTCAGTATTTCATTCATTGGGGCTTGCCTCCCAATATCTGGTATGACCTCCTCCTCTGATCTGGCAGCCTGGGGCCCTTCACCATGGAATCTGTGTTGTACCTCATCAGTCTGAATTTGTGATAGCAATTGCCGTTTGTGGATGTTGGAACACTGAGCTACTTGTTGTTTCGTGGTCAACCATGACTGTGGGTTTCGAAGTAACCATTCAGCCCACGTTCTCTGCATGTCACCCCTCTGACTCGGGTTGCTTGAGTAGTAGCATTCCAACACAGCCATATTATCGCATCTCGCCCATCTCCGCTTTGTTCCAGTAGCCCATTTTTCATCAAGGTGCTCTGGTTCCCCAGCACCTGACGCAGACCTTGTTTGGCCGGGCGACGTCTGAGCCGGCATGTCATTCATTTTATTGTCTCTCATCATTGTATGAGGTAGGCATTAGCATGAAGGGCCTTGCCCAAGGACCTATACGAGATGGTGTGATAAGCTCATATTGCCTCAAGCGGGATTCGAACCCCCGTCTCCCAAACCGGTGCCTTACCAACTGAGCTATCCAGCCGCGCTCTCTCTCTCTCTCTCTCTCTCGCTCTCTCTCTCTCTCTCGCTCTCTCTCTCTCTCTCGCTCTCTCTCTCTCTCTCGCTCTCTCTCTCTCTCTCGCTCTCTCTCTCTCTCTCGCTCTCTCTCTCTCTCTCTCTCTCTCTCTCTATATTAGAGCTGTCAGTTTCGCGTGTTATCGGTATTAATTCAAATGAATTTTAACGTGATTAAATTTTTTCTCGCGAGATTAATGCGGCACACGTCACAGCGGATTTTACGTTGCTCTATAAATAAACCGGAAACAAAACAAGCGCGCTGCAGAAATCCATGCCCATGTCTGTTTTGCCAGCCACGGCAGCGCGAGACACCGAAAACGGATACTTTAAGAGTTTATTAATGGAAAGTTTAGTTTCGTGCCTCGAACCAAGTGTAGTCATCCGAAATTATGTCTACACAAAACCATAGAGAGACTTCCGCGCAAGAAGGACCAACAGAATCAACATCGTCTGACTGCTGTGTTCAAAGCAAACTTGAGAAAAACGAAATATGCAACCATGGCTTAAATCCACTATAGGACGAGAACTAGTTTACCTTAGATGTGCACTTTATAATTTTACATTGCTGTTTTGATTCCCTAAAAAGAGCTGTTAAAGGAGCTGTTTTGTGGCAAAATATTTTTTTCACTGTTGTTGATAGACAGTAATATTGTGTGAGAGATTATGTGTGAATAACTGCTCCAAGTGAAAAATGTTCATGTAAAATTGAAAATTGAAATTGTTGTTTCAGTAAATATTTGCATTTTGCACATACAAAACTGATCCATGATTCCATTTTAATGAGAGCATTAAAACGGGAAAAATAGGACAAAAAATATAAAAGGAAATTCAGAAGCGATAAAAAATGTGTGAGTAATCACGATTAAAATTACTTATGACAGTTGCGTTTTTAATTTGATTAAATATTTTAATCGTTTGACAGCTCTAAAATATATATATTTATGAAAATTTACTGTGATGTCTTTTTTTCTATTTTGTTACAGAAATGTCATGAACAAGGAGCACTTGAGGTAAGAATTCATTATACCCATTTTTCAATACTGTCAACCTGGGATAAACAATGCATTTGCGGTGTGATTGTGATTTGATAAAATGCAATTTGTTCATCGCAAAGGCTACGATTTGACTGGTCATTGTGAGCAGAGCGTAACGGAGGGGAAGAGTTAGCTTCTGATTAGACACAGATGGCAACGGTGTAATTAAAGTCTGCCGCGCTAGGTGCACATTATTTTCTGTGAGCTTTCTGTGTCCTGAAACCTTGAGTCCAGTTTCGAACATGTTTGATTCTTTTTCAGCTTGCAAGATTTTAAAAAATAGTAAAGTAGAGCTGCAATCAGATATTGAGGACCCTGTGGCAACGTTGGGGTACTCTGGCCCATTGGAATTTTTGGAAAATGAAGTATATCAGATTAAAAGATATTTTGATAAAATATCACCTCTACTCAAAGG